TGAAAGACATTGATGACTGACTGTCTTATCCGTGTATGACTTGGACTGTTTGATGGACTCTGATACCTCTATTTACTGCAGTGTCTCTGTATGCTGGTTTGTGTGTTCTCCAACACAATTCCCCTCGGGGAAATGCGGTATACAATGGATGATAGCTTGGGGCTGGCCACTGATTGAATTATAGTCTTGTCTTGGTGAAATGAAGGGAAAGTTGAGGAACATATAATTGATCCATTGTGTTCTTTGCATCTTCTCTGTGTTGTGAGGCTAAAGAGAACTGAAGGTGTTCTCAAACGACTTTCCCACTGCTTTGCAATGGCTTGGAGGGGTGTTTACACACTCACATGCCCAGAATGGTGTGGTGGCCTAGAGGTGGAGCTCTTGCCTCACAATCAGGAGGCTGTGAGTTCGATCCTAGGTAAAGGCAGATATTTCTCTGGGCACATTGAGATTTTATCTGCTGAATATAACTCCACATACATGACAGGAAAGGCATCGGGCCAGTAAACGCTCCGCTACATTCAGTTGCCCAGATTCCACCCCGCAAGGGATTATGGGGTCATTAAAAGACGATGATGATTCACACTCACACACCCATACATACATACCATGTGTGTAACTGTGTAGGCTTACCTCTGCTTGTGCTTTGATTTCCTGAAGTAAAGAAGAAATATCGCTTTTCGCTGTCACTGAAGACAAAACGGACTGCAATTTCTGCTGATCCAGAGAGGAAACCAATAGTTCATCCAAGCTAAAATACAACATAGGCAAAATGACATCAGATTAGATTGAAGAAAAAAGTTGATTGGTTTAATAGTAACAGATAATAGAGCCATGGTGACGCAGTGGTTAGAATGCAGTACTGCAGGCTACTTCTGCTCACTGCTAGCTGACTGACAACGGTCCGTTTCCAGCTTCCGGAGGGCTGGAAGCTGGAAATGGATCCAGGCTCCTTTTGCCCTCCCCAGGCTCCAGAGGCTTTCCTGGGGTGAAAAATGGGTTTAATGGGCCTACTGAACATTTGTAGGCCATTGGGCCTGTTTTGTACCCTCCCCAGGCTCCGGAGGCTTTCCTAAAGTCTGGGGAGGGCGAAAACAGCCTCCGGAAGGCCGAAAATCAGCTGGCTGGCCCGCGCATGCACGCTGCAGCTGATGACTCACATTCCAGCAGATATGGCTCCGCGTGCCACCTGTGGCACGCGTGCCATAGGTTTGCCATCATGGCAACTCATTCTGCAAGAGTGAGAAAAAAAAGTATAATTAAGTACTGGGTGGAGAATACGGCTTCAAATAACCTTTACTTGTAGTTTCTTTAAGTATCTAAGTCTGTAATTCTTAGAGCTCTGAAACGCCCGAACACTCCTAGTAAAATATCAGGAGCTAACAATTTGTTGACTCAGATCTTGGGGAGCTGGGAGGGAGCATTCAACACTTTGATCAAGTCCTTGGCTTTCATAAAGATTGACATTAAGAACCGAACTATACACATGAAAAGAAAACATACAATTTGCCAACTATTGTAACATCCCGTTTTTCTTGGTGCAAAACTCAAATAGGTTGGGTTCAGAATTTGTGTAGTTTAATGCAAAGTATATAAACCAGGGCAAATCTTTTTTGATTTTTTTTCTCCACCCATGAAATATTTTCTTTCAAGTTTTAAACTTTTGCCTTCTCCTAGGACAGAGCTAATAATAAGAAAACCTCAATACTTTATTAGGGGGAAAATGTTATGATAAAGGGCAGAGTTAAATAAAGAAGGGATAATGATAACAATGGGTGTGTGTGTGTGTGTGTGATACAGGATA